AGTTGAGATAAATTCAGTCACACAAACGTCAGTGCATGACTCGTCGGGAGGAGAAGTTCCTCTCAACAAACACAAGGTTTATTGAAGTTGAGCAGCTTTGAGTCGTTGTTTGTAGCTTCATGACTTGTGTTGTAGGTAATTGGATATCACTTGGTGTCACATTAAAGTGTAGGAAATATGTATGGTCCCTGTTGTTGAGTTTACAACCTCAGCACATTCATATGTCAGAGCAGGCTGTTGTTCTTATAGTGTTGATTTTAGTAAAACACAGTAGCTCTGTTCAGCATTGCTATCATAGCATGTGTCTTTTCAACTCTAGATGGAGAGTACACACAATTGAACGCATGACTTCACGGCTGGAATTGTCTCTGTGGTTTGTGCTCCAGTGTGCCGTCGGACATTGTGGAATTCACACTTGGGTATCCCCCAACACACTTCCAAATGTGCTCTGAGTCCTCCGAGCATTCACACCTGAAGCAGACAGAGTCATAAATTAGTCTCAGGCTCGGACCAAATGCCCTTGACAAATCTGAAACTGCCTTCGAAATTTGCTTGGCAAAGGCTTTTAACGTCCCTGTAAAATACACGGTTAACTTTTGTGTTAGTCTGAGTAGGAACAGCCAGCTGCGCTCCCAGGCCAGACATCCAGCAATCGATTTTGGATAAATATGACGCATGTAAAAATGTTATTTTTAAATTCATTAAATATTAGTCTGTCATGTCGCAAATAACATTTTCAGGACTGACCATCAGCAGTGGTTTTTAACCGTTTTGTTATTGCCGTCAGAATTGAAGTTCATTCTGTCTTTTTAACTTCAGAGAACTCTTCTAAAAGAGGAAAGGTATTTACCAACATTAGAAAAAAATGAATAAGGAGCTCAGATTTGACTCCTTTTCTTGTCTAACCACTAATATAAAAGATATGAACAGACCCAGTTTTAACATGTTAATAAAAACCTAATTTCAGTTTTAAACCATTTAAAAAAACTTTATTTATACATTTAAATTTTATTTTATCATTTTGAAAGAAATGAACTTTAAATAGTTAACTGACAAAGCTAAATGTAGAGTCTAACCGAAGCAAGTTAGACATTAATGTCTGGCTCACTGTGAAATATTGCAGGTAGATTGTGTTTCACATCTGTTTTTATTTGTGACTAATTAAAACAATGGAAGAATGTTGAGATAAACAAAACTCAGAATGTAGCGTAATAGATGTTGTGGGTTTAAGTTACTTTGAAAGAAAGTGAAGAACTTGTCATTGTGACACAGCACACGGCCAAATGTGACCTCTGCTTTAACCCATCACCAAAGTGAACTGTGGGCAGCGCCCAGGGAGCAGTGTGTGGGCACGGTGCCAGAGCACCTCAGTGGTAACTTGGCAGCTGGTGGACTCAAACCTGAAACATTCTGGACCCAAGTCCACTTCCTTAACCACTAAGCCACCACTGCCCCAGTGCTGTGAATGTTGTAGAAATCAATAAGAGTTCCTATTGAAACACCAGTGAAGCCTTTGTTTCAACAGTATTAATCAGTCCACACTCCCTCACAGTACACGTGACTATTGTGTCAGTCGGCTTGTCAGTCGTCGACTTACCGACTGCCCTGCCCATGATGAGGCTAATCTGACACACCAGGCTGTCTGACCTAAAGTTGAAGCCTCCACAAACATGTACAGCATTAAGATGGTATTTTTAGCTTAAGCTGCTTCCTGAAACAAAAACATTTTCCCACAATATTTGCAAATAACAACGTGCGTGCCATCAACAAAACAATAAGTGAATGGATGGTGGGTTTATTCTGCCTATTGGTTAAAATCCCTAATAATGTTTTTCTGATGGATCTTATTAATTAATTGTATATTTCTAATGTACTTTTGTTAAGTTTATCACACAGTACATGATTCACAAAGGCAACACATTTCTGTGTTCGACTGCAGTGATACTGTGTACAAAATGGCTAGTAGGGTGCTATTTGTCATGTCTGCCTTTATCGTGGGCGAGTGGAAAAGCTGGAAATGGTCTTGTGGTGTCGTTTTAACATTTTTCAATGTCTTGTGTCATTGGCCGGATCACAGTGTTTCAGATGACTTGCCATAAACCAAACTCTTGGTAGACCACAAACCATCCATGGCAGAGTCAAAAAAGGGAATGTGTTTGTTTTTAACCATGTTTGGTTTCCTCTCTGAGCCTCTGTGTGCATGTCTGTGTACCATCTGTCTTACCACACACAGTCTCCATGATGGATGTGTATGTTCATTTGGTTTTTTTTTTTTCTTTTATTTAGTCACCAGTCTTTCGATGATGGATGTGTATGTTCATTTGGTTTGGTTTTTTTTCTTTTATTTAGTCATCAGTCTGTGAGATAATTTATTACCATGTCTTCATGTTGTGAGCTTGTCACAGGAAAGATTTTGTAGTTTTATATGCATTAGATTTTATGCCTTGATTCTCAGTTAAAAAATTCCACTTCAGGGAACATTCTTCAGGTGATTTTTCCTTCTTTACAACACAGTTGTCAGAGGTGTGTTCACTAAAGTGAGACAAAGTAAACAGCACGCCGACTAGAGTGTGTGATATAAGGAGGCTTTTAAAGTTGTCTGAGTGTGATGGATGTTAAGTGTTGCACAACTGCTGTTACTGATATCGTCTCTTTTATGTAGCTAAAATATTTGCTCCATTAGTGCTGCAGATTAGCCTGATGTGGCACAGGGCCTGTTTTTCACTCTTTATCTGGACCAGCCTGCTCCACCTCCCTGTAATCTGCAGGAAATTCCATCTGCATGTGAACTTTAGTGAATTTGGCCACACTTTGCCAAGAGTTCCTGCCACTTTCCCGCTCACCTCCAGGAGAGCAACACACACACACACACACACTCACACACACAAGGAGACACTCACAGTCAGACACAGTCACGCGAACACCAAACAGATGAGAAATATTACTGAAACACTGCTTCAAGTGTTCCACATTTCCAGTTACCAATCAGTGGACAAGCTTAGACACATCAGTGCACACGCTACACATAAAAAATGCTCCCACACAGATTACAACCTCCCAGAATTCCTGTTAATGGCCAACCTCCCCTTCAACATCACATTGTTTGTGGTTTTGTCCTTTTTTCCTCACATGGTGTGGTTGAGACCAGTGTATTACTCATTAAAGTTGTTCTGAACAACAAGTTTGTGTTGAGACAACGGGTCTGGATGGAGAGTGTGTTACAGTCTGAAGTGGTGTCACTCTTGACAGACCCTGGTACAAAGATTGAAGATCCATGAGCTTCTTCTTCACAAAGAAACCCTCAAGATAAGCCCCAGTAGTAGTTGGAGGCTTGCCAACTCTTGAAACCTATTCTTTACTTCAGGCCACCCCCCCACCACCACCACCACCCTGCTTTATTTTCCCTGCTGCTGTTATTGTGGGTACTACCATCTTGTCTTCTCAGTTCACAGCAATTAGTCTTAAGTGGTCTGGCCTTAGTTCTGGCCTTAGTTCTGGCCTAAGGGTCTCTCATATGGTCCTTGTAGCCAGATACAGTCATTTAGACCTAACTGGGTTTTAGTGAAGAATTTTTTTTCTTTCTCCCATGAGAAAACTAGAACCAGAACGGTCTCTTCTTACTATTTCACTCGCAACATTTAGGTGGCACACCATGGAAGGAGTCCTTGTGTTGCTGATCTTAATCTAAATGAGAAGCATGTGTGTGGCAACTGAAAACCACATTTCACCTCAAATCTAATCAGTTTACCGTTCCTTACTCCCCAGGTTTGCGCTGCAATGGCTCGTTTGGCTTCAGATGTGACACATTTGTGCGGACATTCTGCCTCTGACCTTATTTGAGCCTGTGGATGGAGCGTTGTCGTTTTATTACAGCAGCAGCAGGAGTTCCATTCTGTCAGCCTTAATAGGTCCCCACACTGAAGTGTGCTGTGTTTAATAAAACTCCTGTCTCATTAGCTTAAACAGAGACAGCTCTCTGTGTGTTGGTGTGGGAAAGACAGGAAAGAGGCATGGAGTGGAATGCTGCATTAGGGATTTGGCAGAAGCTCTCTGCCCCTTGTTGGATTTCACTTTGTGTGTCCCACTGGGCAGGTTCATCTCCACCCTGTGTTTGGGTTCATCTGCAGTGAGGGATCTGGTTTCAGGGCCATCAGGGCCGACTGTCTGCTGCTGCTGTTGCTGCTGCTGCTGTTGTTGAGCTCTGTGTCTCTATATGAGACGAAATGCCTACGGCTAAATGGGACACTGCACTGTCTCAGATCACGAAAGGATTATCAACCTGTGGAGTTAGCTTGCCCTCTACTGGACAACAGGGGGAATTTAAAAAGAAAAACAAACATCAACAGGGGGAATTTAAAAAGAAAAACACATTTTAAAAGACCTTTCCTGCTCATAACAGGTTTACTTAAGATGCTTATGTTTTATTATTTTACATACAATACCAATGCATTTTTAATATTCAAAGAAACCAAGTCAATAAACGTCTACAGTATCTTTGGTTGAACAGCACACTGCTGTCGCCCGATGTGTCTTCATGCTTCATGTTCAAAAAACACGTTAATACCTTGGTATTACCCTTCTACTGTAAACTAGCTCCTTCTGTTTTTTTCATTAATTTGTCATTATTCACAGCTGAAACCCTAAATTAAGTTCTGAGAAGGAGCATATTTGACAGGTGGTAATTTAAAATCCAACATTAGAAGCCTTACTCTGAAACCACAACATACTTTGATATAACTTAATAAATAATTTAAAGGAAGTAAAAAATTTCACTCAGAATATTGTGGGATTTGGCATCTGCAACAGAGCACCATCAGAAATGCGATTAGAAACGTAACATAGTTTCCTAGAATTAAAATAAAAATGTTAGTATGTTAAGGATTTTTTTTTGTTAAATTGATCTTGCTTTGTAGAAAAAGGACATTATTTTCAAATTCATGTAATATTTTAATGATTTTTCCTGTTTTTTCCCTTTTGTCTCTGTTCTTTTATTTTTGCAGCTCTGCGTTGTAACTGCACAAACTGTGAGAAGACAGGATATGAGTGTGAGACAGATGGAGCCTGCATGGCCTCTACATACTACATCGACGGGAAGGAGAAACATGTTCGCATTTGTATCAACAGCGACAAACTGGTCCCCCCTGGACAGCCCTTTTACTGTCGCAGCTCCGAAGGAGTGGTTAACACACACTGCTGCTATGAAGATTACTGCAACAGTATTGACCTGAAAGTTCCAGGTGAGTCTTGGAATCATTTCATAATTTTCTTATTTAATCAACCAGATGAATTCAAATGATTCACCTCTGTTTCTCTGTGTCTTTTTTTTTTTTCTCAGTTCCAACCAATGTGTTGACAGGTCCAGGGAGTCCTTGGGGTCCGGTGGAGCTGGTGGCGATCATCGCAGGGCCAGTGTTTCTGCTGTGTGTGCTGCTGATGGTGGGTGTGTTCCTGTGGCAGTACCACCAGAGAGCCTACAGCCACAGACAGAGGTTAGAGGTTGAGGACCCCTCCTGTGACCACCTGTACTTGGCCAAGGACAAGACTCTGCAAGACCTCATCTATGACATGTCCACCTCTGGGTCTGGCTCTGGTCAGTACATGCTAACGATGTGGTGTGATGAAAAGTTGTTATTTTCAAAAAAAAAAATGGTTTCCTTGATAAATACCCACCCATTCCTGTCAGCAGGAGCAGTTCTGTAACAGTCCTTCTATAAATATACAAAATCTGATGCAACACCAGTGTAAACCAGTCTGACCCAGTATCTACTGAGGATTTTTTTTTTCAGCATCCCTCATCCTTAAAACAACCTCACGGAGAACAAAGGCTGATTTCTGCTCTCCTGTCATAGGTCTGCCCCTGTTTGTACAGCGGACAGTGGCCCGGACCATCGTGCTGCAGGAGATCATCGGTAAAGGTCGGTTTGGTGAAGTGTGGAGGGGGAAGTGGCGAGGAGGAGATGTGGCCGTGAAGATCTTCTCATCCAGAGAGGAACGCTCCTGGTTCAGAGAAGCAGAGATCTACCAGACAATCATGCTGCGACACGAAAACATCCTGGGATTCATTGCAGCTGACAATAAAGGTGAGGAAATAGAACCAACACAAAAAAAAACACAGTTGTTTAGGGTTTTTTTTATGTCTCTTTATAGTTTGTCATTGATTCTAAAATGTATATTTTATCTTCTAACTGTTTATTTTGCTGCTCAAATGTCCGCCCACATCTGTATGTTGCCTGACCCGTGTTGCTCTTTGCTGCCTCTCAGATAACGGCACCTGGACTCAGCTCTGGTTGGTGTCAGACTATCACGAGCACGGCTCGCTCTTCGACTACCTGAACCACTACTCCGTCACCATCGAGGGCATGATCAAACTGGCTCTGTCTGCAGCCAGTGGCCTGGCACACCTTCACATGGAGATCCTCGGCACCCAGGGTGAGCATGGCAACTAGGACGTAGCGTGCTGCAAATATGAGAAACTACCCTACTACTGAACGACGTGTTTAAATGATTTACATTCAGGTTTATTTTTCTGTACTGATATGTTGTCTTCTATCCTATAGGTAAACCTGGTATCGCTCATCGTGATCTCAAGTCTAAAAATATCCTGGTGAAGAAGAACAACATGTGTGCTATTGCTGACCTGGGCCTGGCTGTTCGCCACGAGTCCATCACAGACACAATCGATATTGCGCCCAACCAGCGCGTCGGCACGAAGAGGTAAATGTTTCCACCCTGCACACACAGGAAGGTGGTGACACGGAGGGTTAATAATCCTGTCCTTAAACGTTTTTTATTGTGTGTTCACCTCAGGTACATGGCTCCAGAAGTTCTGGATGAAACCATCAACATGAAACACTTTGATTCCTTCAAGTGTGCCGACATTTACGCTCTGGGCCTGGTTTACTGGGAAATTGCCCGTCGCTGTAACACAGGAGGTAAGATTTTGTTTTTATATGTTAATAATAATAATAATAATAAAGAGAACAGATAAGAAGTTACAGAGTGAATGTGTGTGACCTGCAGGTATTCACGAGGAGTATCAGCTGCCCTACTTTGACCTGGTGCCCTCTGACCCCTCCATAGAGGAGATGCGGAAGGTGGTGTGTGACCAGAAACTGAGGCCCAACGTGCCCAACTGGTGGCAGAGCTATGAGGTATTTCACACCATGTGTGTATTTAACTAGCAGCACACAGGGAGTTTCTAAATATAGACGTAGGGACAGGCCGGTCACTCTGGGTTGTGGGGGGGTAGAAAAAGTACTTCATCAGTTTGATCTGTTAGTGTTATGTTATTGTGTAGAGAAAACAAGTCAAAGAATGATCAGATCCATAAAACATTTTGAGAATTGTTCCATCACTGACGTCCATCTTCACAGTTCAATGATTAAAAAAAATAAACTGCTTCTCACTAAAAATCCATTCTCGTTTTATTACCTGACGCAGTCTCTACGTGTGATGGGGAAGATCATGAGGGAGTGCTGGTATGCTAACGGAGCAGCCAGGCTGACCGCGTTGCGCATTAAGAAGACCCTGTCTCAGCTCAGCGTGGAGGAGGACGTCAAAATGTGAACGTCCGGGGAGGAGCGGAGCCTGAACACACACTCCCATAGGAAACAAACACTAAAGACAGACTGCAAAGAAAAACCCTGCCAGTTTTTAAAGCCACACTCCAAGTTGTGACAAGGCCTACCTCACCTTTTTAGCCAAAACTACTGAGAACCCCTGGTCCTAACAACCCCCGTCCCACCCCTGCCCCCTCGCTCCTCATCCTCCTACTTCATGGGCCACATCATCACAGCACTACCACTGTTGAGATCATCACACGCCACCTCCGTTTGGTTTCCATCTCCCATGGCAGGGCTAGTTTGTACAGTAATGGGATTTTTTTAAGTTTCTTTTTTCATTTTCATTTTTTTTTTTTTTACCTCTGTGAAACTTTCCCATGACGGACTAACCTTGTCCAGACTCCAGGATTTGTGGTTTTATAACAACACAAAATAACAATGACAGCACTCTTTCTCTCAGCCATGTAACGTCACCTTCTGTTGATGAGAATCTGAGGAACAGATTATGTCTAGCTCTGTGTTGTCTGCACTACAGGCTGCATTTAGGGCTCCATCCACACAGCCCGTTGTTTTTTATGTTTTTAAATTGACATGTTGTATGGATGAAGCTCCGGGGTGCGTTCACACTTGTCATGTTTGGCTGTATTAAATCGAACTCTGATTGGGAACTCACTTCCAGTTTACAACTTTAGTTTTAACCTAAAAGCTCATCGGCCACATCTGGTTTGACTTCATCCATGTGTCTCACTTTGTCCAGTGATTCAAATAAACATCAGTGTGTGAGCTGCAGTTGGACCAGGACTCTAAACTGGCACAGCAAAACCCAATAACTAATTCCCTGAATCACTACACAAGTGTGAACACACCCTACATATGTGTTACCACCACAGAGTACCCCAGACTTCCAGTACCAGGAACCATTTTCTAAGTTTAAATGGTGCTCTATTCTCATTGGCTGACTTCTTTTTTTTCACAAATGAGTTCATTGTTAAACAAAACTTTCAGTGGAGATCCAATGTCCTCCTGAAACTCCTGCCTCTGGAGTTAGAACTGTTTAGCAGTCAAAATAATGACCTCATAAGTTCCTGATCCTGGCTTGTAAAATATAAAAAGTTCCTGATGTCCCTCTGGGTTCCTGGTCCTAGTCTCTGTGGTGCAACTATGACATCTAGTGGTAATAAACTTATCTACAGATGAACAGCCAGAATGAGACAGAAGGTGGTCGCCCTCAACTGTAGCCTCCTCACCGTGGGTGAGACCTTCAGGTGTCCCATTAGGGACGTGGTCCAGTCCTGGTGTTAGTTTCAAATGTGGCAGGGATAATCATTGGGATTGTTTTTTGTTTGTTTTGTTTTAGTTTTCTAATTTATTTGCTGATATTTTATTGTCATATTGATGAACACTGTGAGATAAGATGTGACAAAAGCAAGAATCCTGGTGTGAAACTGAAACGTTGGCGTGCGGTCCGTGTCTTCAGCTGCACGTCTCCGAGCGTTCGTTCAATCACTCAGCTCGTATTTGGATGGAGCCATAAAAATCCCACTGAAATGACATTCAGTTCACTGAGCAAAAAAACAGCAACAAGAGACTTTTTATTCTGTTTTATATGTACTTTATGTTGTGTAAAAAATTTAATGAGGTGTTTTTCTGTTGACTTTGACATTAGACACTACTGATGGGTACATTTGACCTGTACATAAACCCGCGATCGTTTCTTTTATACTACAAGCACCAGTGTGATGATTGTTTCTTGGTTGTTTTTTTGTTTTTTGTTTTTTTTTTGGTACAGTCAGGAAATGTGTGTGTGAGTGTGTGTGTGTGTGAAAAAGAGAGAAATGTTTGCATGGTTTTCTACTGTGCCAGGAATTTTGACTGTGTCTTTGCTGGAATTGATTCTTTTCATAGACCCCTCTTGGCCGTTTGGTGGTACTACTGATCCCAGGTCATTTCCCTGCATATTCTGTTGGTTTTTTTTCTTCTTCTTTATTTTATTATTGGAAATGCTTGAGTTGTTATCAGGGCTCAGTAATGCAGACCTGTCTCCACACTCCCGAGGGTGACATCTCTCTCACTGACACTGGAATATTATGGTGTGAACCTTAACCTTGAATTCTGCAGATTCTGTTCATTCAGACGCCAACCACTGAGCATTCGCACATAGGAAACAAATATCTATAGGTGAACAGAGCCATTCAGAATTTTATATCTTTAAGAACTGTAAAACAAAAAAACAAAAAAAAAACCCTGCACGTTTTCTCCATTTTATGTGGCTGCTGACATGGCTGTTGAACTATTGTGTCCCCGTTTTGTCAACATCAGGCTCTGTACTGTTACGTCCACATGGACTTTAGTGAATATTAGTTATGTCCAATACCTGCACCGAAATCTGTCATGTTAGGTTCCATTTTTGCATGCTGTGTCAAACACTGGCTCCTCTGCACTGAGGTGAACAAACTCGACCTCCACTTCTTTCAGGTTTTTCGCTCATGTTCCTCGGAAATGTTGCTGCTACTGTAGACATATGAAAATGTTCAGCAGACGGAGCGTAGCAGGAAATGTAAAGTTGGGAGAATTACTGGGAGGAGACTGAGTTCAACCAAAACTGTCAAAAACACTCATCCAGTCCATGTTGGGTTTGTTGCCATGGGTATATGACCATCAGACATCCTGTTCACATGTATTACTTCAGGACTTCAGGTCTTCAACATCAAGGTGTGAATCTTTTCAGAATTAGTTCTAAAGTGTATATAGATAATATACATTAAATTCCTCTTTTTTCCTACCTGGTATTTCAGCTGTGTCTTTTGTGTTGTGTAGAATAAAAAATGTTTATATATTTTATAAAGAAAGACATTTGTATAGAAATGACATGCAACACCTGACAAGTTAGTTCTCCACAGCAAAAACAAATGTTTCGTGGCATAGGCTAAAGAACTTTAAATCAACCAATCACTATTTTAAAAAAGCCTAAAGAACACAACCAGATAAGTCAGTCAAACAAAAAGTTTAATATCTGTGAAAATATAAATGTTCACGTTTAATAGAGAAAAAGCAAAAATAGCCCAAAATTGGCTTAGAGCAATTGAACATCTAAAAAAATTATTTCATGAAATTAACCTTTGAAAGATTTGCTCTTTTTAATAAATTACTTTACAGGGTTAATGGTTTAACTGGTTTATATACTGTATGTCATTACATGTGTCACCCTGATGCCAAACATGTAGAGTTGAGTAGTGTTCAGTGCAGCGGGAACATTCATCATGTTCAACTAACAGTAAAATCACTTACGTCATCTTCAAGTATCATTTACTTCCTAATTTTCTTTAAACATTATGCAAAAAACATAGTCGAACTAAGGACATTATTTAAGAAAATAAAACTGCTGTAATAAGAGGGCCTGTGTTGAAGCACCCCCTGGTGGACAAATGGAAAATAACCTGTATAAACCAGTATTGCAACTATTTGGCTGTGGCATGGTAATCGTCTAGGGTGGGATCAAGAGTTATTATACAGATGTAAGAAAAGCCCTCTTAATTACTCATATTACTAATATCAAACTTAAAATTGCTGAATACATTAAGCTACAGATCCCATCAGCAGCTAAACGTATACAGCCCACCCAAAAGAGGCAAACATAATACAATTCAAGGTCAGTTTTGGGGCACTCTCACAGCAGTACTTCTCATCTTTTACAAGATTCTATCTCGCCTTCGTGTTTCTCATCAAATTAGAGCATTTTGAGAATTTTTTGAGAAAATTATTTTTTGGGGAATTTTTCAGTAAAATCCTAATTTCGGGTCATATGGTCAGATGGTGGAAGATGGAGAAAAAAATCTAGATTTTTTTTTTGTAAAATACAAATTTCGCGTGTCTTGTGGTCACCGAACATGCGGTTCATGCAAAACCAAATTGTTTTTCTTGCAGCGAGTAATAGTTCAATAGTGTAATGGCACAAGCTAGGCCACAGGGTGGCAGCAATTTCACTCCGTCACTCTGTCAGTCGTTAGGATCTCGATAGGTTTTCACAGTGACAGCTGAATGCCTGTGTGAGACACTTAGTCAAGAATCGTCACATTTCTTTTGTATGGCCACGGGTTATATCTTTGAACGGAATTGAATGTTGTTATTTGAACGGACGAGGTCTGTGTCTCTGCTGAAGGACTTCATAGGCCTGTTGAATCTTTATAAACATTGCCTCAGCCTCCTGACTGGGACTGTGGTCTGGATGCCATTTCTTAGCAAGTTCCCTGTATCTTTGAGTTATCTCTGCAAAAGAGGCCTCTGTGTCCAGGAACAATATCTGCAACAGAAATAGATGCACGGCATTAAATGCAATGTTTGTGCAATTTTATTTGAGATATTATTGATAACAGAAAACAAGATTTTGCCCCTGTTAGATTTGTCCTGGTTAGTTCTGTATTATTTTAAGTAATTAGTAAAGGTTCATTGTAAAGTGTTTTTTTTTTCTAACTGGTTATCTTAGTAATTATTTTCTCTAGATACTTTAGATATGTCCTGTTTTTGCTTTTTAAAAATGTCATCAAAACTCACCCTGAGAGCCACCTTTTCTTTCTCGGTGTATTCCTTGAGAATAATTTCCAACACTTTCTTCCAGGCTTCTTCATAGTACCCACCCCCAGTGATAGCACACAGGATGTGGTAGGGCATCAAAATAAAATACTCCAGAACATTTCTGAGCCAGGGCAAGAACCAGAAAATATCCAGCAGAGCTTTCACACAGTCAGACAGGTAGTAGAGAGTGACTGTGGTGTTGTGGAAAATACAGTAACCCAGTGGAGCAGAGAACGCCAGCAAAGCTAGTCCGAGCCAAAGAAGCCTTGGACCTAGAGTGGACAGAGGAAAGAATGTCAGTGTTGTAAGACACGAGTCCATGACTTATTGATACAAACTCAAACAATGATCAATCAGAGTAGTGGATTCCCTGGAGACTTGGATTCACTTTTTGTTTTTAACAGGGATTCTAATCTCCAATTTCAACATTTCTTAAGTAAGACTAAACTAATCTAATCTGTAAACCCTAGTCAGAGGCTATTCATTATTAATAATCACTACACAAACAGAAACTGGGAGATATACCAGACTTGTGAGTTTCTTTTTATACCTAGTTTTCGTCTTTCCTGCGTCCTTCGATGGGGTTTATATTTTCTGTGTTGAGAGGCTGTGACACTGGCAGCCAGGCTAATAGGAAGTGGAGAGAAGGTGCTTCCGTAGAACACTGTCGAAGTCAGGATACAAGCGATCAAAGTTTTGTTAAGGTCAGAGGTCTGTTGGCCAACAGAGGCCACCAGATGCACCCCTGCTCCTATACATAAAGGCAGGACGATCAGGTAGAAGAAGTTGAACGTGTTGAGTCCGATCAGAGCCACGGTTCCAAAGTAGATCCCAACACACACCTGACCGACAAATCTGAAAGGGCTTATGGGAGGAAGGAATTTGTCAGTTGGTTGTTTCCGCCGATTGTCTGCTTCCTGGTTAGCCTCATCCACATAGGCAGGGATACGTAAGACCTCTCTGATCCAGCCAAGTCCAAAGCCTCCCAGTGTTATTATCCACAGCAGAGCATGGCTGTCTCTTCCTAAATACAGATGGTGAAGGCCCACAGGTCCACCTAATGCCCACAGGGCATAGGCTGTCATTACACTTTTCACCATATTTTTTTTTTATTATGACCACGTGTTCATTCTTGACATAGGCTGCTACCTGGAATGGAGTGAGACAACATAAATCAATAAATATATATTTTCATGGTGGGTTTTTTTTAAATATTTCTATGCAATGTCCCTAGGATAGCAACACATTTGACAAGCAACATGCAAAGAGATTTAAAATCAACGTATTTATTGCATCAAAATTGCAACTTAATTAATTAAAAAATAGTTTAAAGGCTTTAATAAAAAGGATTTTAAAAAATTGACATCACATTTATTGTTTTGTTTTGGGCTCATTATGATTGACAGACACCCTACACGTATCTTCCCCCAACTCCCCTTTTTTTTCTCTATCCACGCCCCCTACATTGGCCCCTCCCTCTGGTTGCTTTTAACCGGTGTACAGGGAACTCTTAGCAGCAGCTCAGCACCGCGGCTTCAGAACGTACGTCAAACACGGGGGCACTTCCGGAGAAGATGCCTCGTCTTTTAAATCTATAAGCCGTGTTCTGTTGGCGATTTCAAGCCTGTGAGGCCACTGGAATGGTTTCGGAGGATGGAAGCGAACGACGTGTCGGTCAGAGAGCAACTTTTTCACAACCGAGTCCGGGAGACCATAGTAAGTTCCGCCCCGGCTAGTACTGATGAACGAAGCGTCGGTTGATATGCATACGAGGGTCTCCTTTAACAATGCACACCCACAGCAGGGGATTTAAACCGAACAGTACGACATGCTAATCATTTTCCCCTTTTTTAATTTGTTTGGTTAACAACTGTACAACACTCCGAGACAAGTCGTTGAGGCGACAACGTGTCAATTGTCACCAGAAATATCTATATAATAGAGTTTATCTTATTTTTTTTCCATGTTTTCTTCGTCATTGTTGAACGAAGTTTGTTGTACCCGCTGCCCTGTCTGCACGAATGCAGCCGGTCACACAGGAACTACTCACTCGGCATTAGCATCTCCTCAGTTGTGTTTTTAAGTCACCCACTCCTTATGTCAGACCGTCATTTCTCAGGACACCAACACCCGATCTTAACTGTTAATGCTCCTAAAATTATGTCAACGACGCACTTTACCTTTGCTCATTCCTGCCCTGCCTCTGTTTTGTGTTAGACGGCAGCTTCTGCTGAACTTCAGACCTGAATGACACATGGAGGCTGAACTTTCACCTCAGAAAGTGCAATCAGATTCCATAAAAAGTCCAGATTCAGTTTGTGCACTGATTGCAGATATCTCTATTGACTAGGACTTGGTTTAACCATTGTTGGTCAGTAATAGAACACTGTGAGATTATTGCTTTACTCAGTAACTAATTGTGTAATGTATTATTATATATGTCACACTAGTACTATACTTAGTAATGAGTAACTATTCCTTGGTTAACATCCCATTCACGATACTTGTTTAATGTTATGAATTTCTACACCTCTGTTACAGCTTGTTGCCTGCAACCTAGCCTCTACTGAAAAATAAAATAAACAAAATCTGGACTTAATATGGACTCTGTAGTAACCCCTTTTTGCAGTCTGGAGTTAAATATAATCATTTAAAAAAATTTAAGCAAACACCCAAATTCCCAATCTTGGTAAAACATGGAGAAGGTTGCATCAGTCCATTATCCAGACTATATCTGTGTTAAGCTCTGATGAAAGCACAAACTCAGAGATTCATCTTCTAATGCCCTGATGCCCACATTCATTGTAGCGCCCATGTTTTGACTTAGTCTCTTTTTCCTTAAGTCCTAATGCTATTAGTTGACCACCCCTCTTTAAGCTCCTGGCAGCCCTCGAGATTCTTCTTACCACCCCCTCATCACAGTCATGCTTCAGCCTGATCCGCTGCCCCACATCTCTTGCTGTTTGCATTTGGTGGCTTTTTTGTTTTTTAACAACATCATCAGTTTAAATTCCAGTTGGTGTGTTTCATGTGCACCTCTGTTTCTGAGTAATCAAAGATAAACACTTCATAATGTTTTGGGAAGAGATTAAAGACAGAACGAACGCTGATATTTGCTCAGCAACTGCAAATATATGAATAACACACAATAATGTATCATGACGTGCACTGTTCACTATTTAAAAAAAAAAAGAAAATAAATAAATTTCAAAACAGTCGTGTCACCACAAATGATGGGTTATGAGACTAATAATATATATATATTTATATATATATACTGTATATAGATAGATAGATAGATAAATATGTCCATGTGTTTAATTCCTGATGTAGGACACAGCGTGTCATTACTACAGTACAGAGTTTACTCATACATTTTTGTCCAGTTGCTGGCTAATTGTTGTCTACATGCAAACAAAACTAAAAGCAGTAACAGATTTTCTATTGGCATTGTTAACACTAATCATGGCAGCGATGAAGCAAAAACACACCATTGACATGTAGCATTACTTTCTTTTATATTTATAATCCGACAGTGTTCAGACCATTGTTAACTTAAGCTTATGCAGTGCAAAGAATCATCTCCAATAAGTCTATTTTTTTCACAAAGCTGTTTGCGGGTTACATGTAAGAGCGACCAGTACACACCTACAGTCCGCTGACTGAACCAGGAAGGATGAATGTTTACTAGAATAAAAAAAGGTCAAGATTATATCTTTTTTTCTATGGAAATGTAACACCTAGCAACTACGCATGCAAATAAATCAAATGATCACAGGACACTGTAGCTCAGAATGTAATAATAGAAAGACTTCGATGTTGCTTCCGAAATTGTATATCAATAGACTGTCAAATCTTAGGTGAGTCAATGCTCTAGAATGTTCAAAACAACAAACTGTAGCTGAAGTCTTTCTTTGACTTCGTGTGGAAACGTGCCAAGCCTTATTCTGTGTCTTAGAAAACAAAGACTGCTGGGATGAACCTGTGTGTGTAGAGCTGGTTAGGAGATGACCTTGTATTTGGACTTTTTGCAAGGAATGTGCTGTTCTTAAACTCCTCCGGGTGGTATCTTAGTTTTGAGGTCAAACTGATGGGAATACTGCTCATGTTTGTTATTCACAGCGATGTTTGGGCGACTCCAGGAGTTCTAAAACGTTAGGAGGAACAACATATCACTGGTGCTTCCCACTGGAGCTGTGTTTCTTTTAACTCTCTTCCCAGTTGGCTTTGTGTTCGCTGCCAGCTCTTGACTCTGCCAGCCGTCTATTCTACAAACTCTAACCAGCCTTTGTTTTCTGCCCCTTCTCATGTTGGATTAGTCAAAGCGAGCTCCTCGCCAAAGTGCACGTGTGTGGCAGACTGCGATGATTGGTTGTTCTGCACCGTCCACTCTTGGAACAGCTCGAATTTCATCTCTTGCATAAGAAACACTGTCGATTTGTAAACAAATGCTACATTAGTCCAGTTTGGATGCAGAATTACAGATAAAATCCTTATCAGTTCTGATTATCAACAGTTGTTGTGAGTGAATTCATCCTGTTTTCCTCTTTAAAAACAGGACATTAATTTAGACTGTGGGCCTGTTTATCACACACAATAATTAATTTACACAATAACATATAAATGTGCAAAACTACACTTTTGAAAATTGTTTAGAGTTTGACCTGTGGGAAAATTGTGTTGAAGGTAACATACAGCGTATTTGTACTACTACCAGTACATCTCCAGATTCACAAATGCTGGCTTGTGCAACTTTTTGTTGACAACAGTCTGTGTGGCCCTTTTTCATCTGATTTCTTCCTAAAAACCAAGTTAAACTTGAACTCTCCAGACCAAAGAACACGATTTCACTGGCATCAGTGACTTGGGTGATACTGACAGGTGACATTGATAGGATGAATACCAGACACACCCAACTGTATACGGTACAGTGTTATGATCATGAATCAAGTAAATAAACACAGTGAAAGATTTATTACCTCAGTAATTATCTGTAGAGACATGTTGTGACCCAATCTTTTTTTTAGATTTTTGTGGTTGTATGGATTACCACTAACCTGAATTGACACTTGTGGAAAGTAAGTGGGGCAGTGGTGGCTTGGTGGTTAAGGAAGCAGACCTGGGTCTGGAAGTCCACCTGCTGCCAAGTTACCACTTAGGTGCACTGAGCATGACACGGTCACCACACTCTGCCCACTTTGGTGATGGGTAAAATGCAGAGGTCACATTTCATGTGTGTGCAGCGCTGTGCTGCGTCACAATGACAAAAAGTTCACTTTCCTTCCTTTTCCTTCCTTTGGTTTGCAGCTTTCTCCAGTTGCAGCCTCCCATTAGTTAAATTGGTTTGAATGTGTGTTTATCAACACTTCAACTTGCCTTCATGTATTTAATGTCACTGCAACGTAAAATTAAACTACCAATCCATTCTATGACTTTGGTGTGGAAACACACATGACAAAACAGACTTCTTTTTTTTTTTTAAATGCAGTCAGCCTCAGAGTTCTCAGAGGCTCAACAATATTTCCTGCCAGAGCGTTCTATGTATTTAATACACTGGTTAAAGGAACAGGTTTTACACCTCTGAGCAAGTTGTCACATATCTGTCGTTCTCCTTTGAGCTTCTCTTTGTTTGTTGTCTTTGTTACCTTAGGAACAAACTGCTACAGCTTCACACTGCACACTCTCTCTCTCAGCCAAACTGTTTTGATCACTGCTCAAGGTTTTGTCAGCATCTGCTCTTCCTGTCCGCTACAGCTTCACACTGCACACTCTCTCAGCCAAACTGTTTTGATCTGTCAGTGTAAACGTAGCAGCGTATCATCATCGAACAATTTGACATAAAACATTTTCACGGGCTGCTAGAGCTCGATTTCAGCTTCGTCAGCAAAACAACACTGATGCTCAAGATGTGGTTATGTGAACCAATCCCAGAGAAGAGCAGTTTGTTTTTTGGACTTGTCTGTAAACAAAGGGTGCAATGGAACACGGGTTCAAGTTTAGGTACAAGCTCTTTTATTGGGACTTTCTTTTCTTAACACGACCTTAACAGAGTTTACTGCAAGAAGAATTTTGTATCAAAATATTGATCCTTGGTGGTAAATAATGGTCTTTCTGTATGGTTGATGTTCTCACTGTGTGTTCGTGGCTTTTCTCAGGATGCTGAATAGGGATGTTCATTTGACACGAGCTTAGATTTAAATATAGGTAAAGGTCAATGCTTGGTCCTTCTTTTGAGTCTACTAAGTGTGTGTTCAAGTAAATGCTTTGCCCAACATGAACCCAGCTTTGCTTTCCATCTGTGCCACAAACCAAACACCAGTGAGGAATTTCCAATATATATATTTTTTCTTTCTCCCAGATCTGCGTGCTCCTGTTCACATTCCTCTACATCCTGTCCTACCTCATACTGACACACTTCAAGAAGGCTGCCGAGTTTGTCACAGGTAAGATCTCAGTGAGTCGTGAAAACAGTATTTGCTTAGAGACCTGGAGGAAAATTGCCAAAAGGGGAAACTCTTCCCTGATGCTGTTGACAGACATAATTAGTACATGCGAAGGCTGTGGAATGCTTATTACCTGTAGTGCGTAAAGATCACATTTGTCAAGATGTCGCAGGTGTTGTTGAGGAGACTCAAGTCACTGCAGTGAGAGACTTGTACTTCTAACGTATGCAAAAGACAAAAATCACTGCCATCCAGGAAGACACAAAGCAATAGTTTAAATGCACATAACAGAAGTAGTTTATTAACTCTATCTCATCACAGCTAAAGTTTGTGGACTATCTGATGGAATGGGGTCGTCAGTAGTCATGGTATGTATGTGAAGGTACCAGGGATGCATCTGTCAAGGAGTTAGGTTACTGCGAGAATTCCATCTATTTTTCTCCAGGCCATGCCTCATTCTGCAGGTATCAATGTATTTGTGATGAAAGAGTATGTGTGCATACTGGCCTGCCTGCAGTCCAGCTCCATTTCCTATTGACAACAGCTGTGCATCCTCCAGAGAAAAATCAAGAAATAAATAATCGTGCTCCACACACTGCACAACATGATTATCAAGAAGTGAAATATACAGCAGAGAGGCACGCATCAATTTATATTTTATTTTATCCTAACATAGTATTTAGCTGAACATCAACACATTTTTTCCACCAATGAAGTTCGTGAGAACTACTTTCCAGACGTTCATGTGAAGCTATTTCCCACGTTTGTCCACATGCACAGCAAATATCACTTGTTTACACACGTCCAGTGTTGTATATAGACAACCAAAGTACCTAGACTTTGACAGGAGTATTCCTGAGGCGGAGGTTTGTTATGTAACCTGTAACAACCTCCCCAAGCAGTGGATCCCAGTGGATCAGGGACACGGAGGAGTGGTGGAGAACGTTGAAGATAAACACTGGTGTTATTTATGCTCCTTCTCTTTCAGGAAAACATCACAAATACAGTTTGATTGAACACAGCAATAGTGAAAACCTTGACTCATGGATGTTTCCAAAAGTTTGGCTCGGCACTTAAACCTGTGTCTCACTTTATTATGAAGAGTTTAACGTTCCAGAGGCTCAGAGTTACATCATAAATCCAATATCACGCCTCTATTGGAAACAGATGTAGGAAGTCTGAGGGTCCAAGTCTGTGCTCCACTTGGGCCAAGCTGGGACTGAGGCTGCGGCCTTCTCCAAATCCCCCACCCTTTTTCTCTTCTTACAAACATGCTGTGCTTTCATTTAGTTTTACTGTGAAACAGCAGTTGGGCCTTCCAGCTAAATGATGATTGAGCAGCACCCTAAACTGACAAGACCAAGGTGTTAAAAACTGGTTTTTGCTGCACTGATTTTGCCTCACGATTAAACAGCTGATTAGGTTCTGTGGAATAAACTTTATAGTATCTCAAAGTACTGTTGCGGGTTTTACTGGATTAGGGCAGGAACTCCTTGAAGATGCTTTTAATGATCATAATCATCAAAGTGAAAATCTCAGATGTATGGCTAATATTTGTTGTTGTTTTTTTCTGTTTCTTCTTTGCTCACAATCATCTGAACCGCAGTCTTATTTGTACAGAATGTTCTTAACCCCAGTCTCTGTGGCCAGATGGAGTTTTTTTTCCTGATCTGTACCTCTGCACTGTACAGAGGAACAGAGTGTACTGTACAGTCCACCAGGCTTTACATTTCAGTAATAACTGATATTTTGTGATATGGATGATTCTTACTCATACTTACTGCAAAAAGTCACACTCAAGTGTAAGAGTTAGAGAGTCATTCTGACTGACATTTAATGAACAACATGTGTAGGAGTGTGAAAAGCTTTACTCCAGCTGATATGAAGTAACTAAATAATGTGTAAGGAAGGAAGTTTTTTGAGGCTTTGCCGAGGAAACACACTTTTGGCCTATAATACTAAAGATATGAGACGTGCCTTTGTAAGTAATATATTTTGAATTGAATCTAAAATTGTGATTTACTTTTCAGTTCGGCTCAGTTGTTTGTTTGTTTTTTATTTAGTAAATTATTCAAGCTGGCACATGAGGAAAACATCATCGCTAACACGAAAACAACTCTGTTTAGACCTTAGAAAAAGGAACTGGTTCTCTCCACACAGAACCAGGGCAAACAAAGGTATCATGATGTTCCCCAGTGTCAACAGAGTCAGAGTGTGGAGAACAAAACCAGCAGAGATAGGTAACAAAGGATTTGAGATCTTGACGTGTCTGTAGAACACCAGAACAGCTGCATGGGCCGCAGTGACTGACTTGAATCTGCCACGGACGGAAACTTTCATTACTGGACTGTTCAGGTCAAACTCCACCGTGGTTGAAGAGACGCATTCAAGCCAAACTTCTGATTTCTGCTAATAACGACCCCTGTAGAGAAACGACTCATAACACAGACTGACAATTCACAGAAAACAGAACTGTTTGACTGTTGAAAAGGCTAAGCACGGAGACAAAGGACAAAGTCTCCACAGTGAAACATTGAGGTAGAAGTATAATGTGAAAAACTGTAAGAATGTGAGAAATTCACCAGCAAAATTGTACCATTGTCATTGTGTCGCAGTAACAGCCCAAACCACACTTTGAGGGGAAAAAATCTCCATCTGGCCAAAGTGAATGTTTTTGATTAGTGCACATTTTTTAACAGTTGGGAAACGTTTTGTTTCTGTTGGAAAAGAGAAATGTTGTAAATGTTCTAATTAACAGTTAGACATTTTTAAATTCTACGTTTAAGCCTCATGTTTTACTGAATGATAACACCGTTGGTCCTGTAGGGTCATGAATAACTCCACCATGTTTTGATCGTTATTTAAATTACATAGTAATTGTCAATCAATTTCATGCAACATTTCATGTTTTAGTCTAACTTCAGTTCAACTTATTTGAATGAAAAATGTTCTTCTATTTCTGAATTAAGAGCCAATTCATGCTGTTGGAAAAAAGGTGTAATGACAAAGTTTGTGAGTTAAAAATGTTTTTATTTGGGACCAAAATAAACATCAATACAAGGGTTACAAATGTTTCACAATGTAAGTTTTCCATAAAAAAAAAAAAAGCACGTACTGTTTATTTTATGCCTGGGAACAGTTTTTTTTTTATGGAAAACTCCATTAAAAAAAAAGCATGTACTGTTTATTTTATGCCTGGGAACGGATTATCAAGTCTCTGTCATTTGTGAAGTTAATCCTGTCATATTTACTTATTTCTTTCTTTGATCAAATATGTTCTTCTGTCCTCTCACAGATGATAATGAAGACGCCACCGTCAATAAAATTGCGTAAGTGACTCCTCTAATGATTAACTGTCCCACAGCGGTCTGTTTCTACTCACACGGTGCACATACAGTATGAATGACTGCCCTGATGGCTGAGTCAGCGTGACATGTTGTGGCCTGTGGTCTTTGGCTGTACATTTATTACTCTCTATCTTTGGAGTCTCTGGAGTTGTTGTTGTCGTTCAGTCTTGGAGCACCTTACGTCCTCCTGCCCTTTGTCACCATATGCTGTCACTGTACTTTATCCCTGGACGCTGTAACCCACACTTGCACATTCAATGTTGGACTGAACACAGATTCTTGTTTTTCTCTCTCCAGGCTGTGGTTGTGTACCTTCACCCTGTCTGTTGCAGTGTGTGCCGTCCTCCTGCTGCCCATCTCCATTTTATCCAATGAGGTGCTGCTCACTTTCCCCCACAGCTACTACATGCAGTGGCTCAATGGATCGCTCATTCATGGTAATAACCAATGTTCTCACACACGTCACCCAATCCAGAGGAGCAGTCGATTACAGAGAATGTCATTATGTCTGTAAACACAGCCTCAGATGTAATGAGTATCGCTGTGAACAGGCGTCAAGATCAATACTGCACAGAGGCCTGTGTCCTAACAGGGACGGAGAATTATTATGGATGGATAAGCTGTGACCTTCACTGTGTCATGTTTTATTTCAAAGAAAATACTTCTGCTCTAGGCAGCTGTCGAACTGCGTGTGAATCTGTGTTTTTAAGGTGGAATCAAAACTATATATTTTAAGTTTGCCATTTCGTATATATATATATATTTTATATCACAATTTAAGAAGTTTTTTTTTTCACATCCATGTGTTTCTGTCTAAAGCATTTAGTTACACATTAATGATGGTGCTGCTAAACAACTCTCTGTGGTCAGTGATGGTACTGCTGTTTTGCTTCTCTCCAAATTGAACCAAAAGTATGTCAGAGTTACATTTGGAAAATCTCTGTTTCTCTCATTTCAGGCTTGTGGAACTTAGTTTTCCTTTTCTCAAATTTGTCCCTGGTCTTCCTCATGCCTTTCGCCTACTTCTTCACAGAGTCAGAGGGGTTTGCAGGATCCAGAAAGGTACAGCTATAGAACAGACTATATATGACAACGTGTGCGTTTGAACTTGTTGATAAGGCAGTACCTGTCTGTGTAGGGTGTGATGGCACGGGTCTACGAAGCAGTGGTGCTGCTGTTGCTGCTGGCCTTACTGGTGCTGGGCATCGTGTGGGTGGCTTCAGCCCTCCTACATGACAACATCGCCAGGAAGAGCCTCTACGGTGAGTCACCTCTGTCATTCCTAAACACTCTTCAGCACAGGCGGCATCTGTTGTTGTTTTTATAACCGTTTTTCTGTTCTCTGTGT